AGAGTAGCTTTAAAGAAACAGACATGATGTTTATAACATAGCTCACAGAAAACTTCGTAATGACTTTGATTTAAAGAATCTTGATTTAAAAAATACTTATTTATATTTGAATCAATTTAAAAACAGTCACAGTTTGGCTTAACTTATTTCTGGTGAAGTGACACCAACAGTTGCCTGTTTCATTTTCCTTTATTTTAATATTTTGTGATATTGCTTTTTCACTAAACAGATAGTGTATCTTTTTTAATAAATACATTATTAATGGCAGTGATAAAGCACTTTTCCTATATAAAATCAAAGACCATGTGTGTCTGTATTTTATAGTTTATTTGATGTAAAATCTGTAATTGATCAGGGTATCTGTAGAGGTTGTCCAACCACCAGGCATAAATTAAGCTTTAATAAGTTGACTTGAAGTAGTGATGAAGAGTCTGTCCACTCTGAATCTGTTTGCTTTAACTGTGTTTTTCTTGTAGGAATTTGCTCTCTCTCATCCACCGCATGATCGAATTTGTGGTGCGTGAAGGCCCCATGTTTGAAGCCATGGTCATGAACAGAGAAATCAACAATCCAATGTACAGGTTGGTTCAGCTACACTTTGTAAAATATTCAGGCATTCTCAATCTGGTGATTAAGTGCTGTTTCTGTAAACTTTAATGATTGTTTCTTTCTTCTCAGATTTTTGTTTGACAACCAGAGCCCGGCACATGTGTATTACCGTTGGAAACTCTATACTATACTGCAGGTTAGTTGTATGTTTTGGGAAAAGGCTTTAGTCAATTATAAACATTTGGTATCCTTTAACTCACACACACAAAAAAAGCATAATTTTGTAAAATAAAAAAAAAAATTCTTTCACAGGGTGAAACACTATCCAAATGGCGAACAGAGGACTTTAGAATGTTTAAAAATGGCTCTTTGTGGCGTCCGCCGCCTCTTAATCCATACCTTCATGGTCCTTATGATGATGGTGATGAAGGGGATGAAGAGGAGGAGGCCAACAAGAAAGGCTGCTTGAAGGAAGAGTAAGCTCATGCCTTTATGATGAGTTTTCACACATTTTCTTAAATGTTGAATAGTAATTTGAGGTAAATGACTTGTGATAATAACTAGTTCAACTTTTCTTCACGCCAACAGGGAGCGAGACAAACTGGAGGAGATGCTGCGAGGTTTGACTCCACGGAGGGGGGATATTGCCGAGGCCATGCTGTTTTGTTTGAACCACGCTGAAGCAGCTGAAGAGATTGTAGAGTGCGTCACAGAGTCTCTCTCCATCCTAAAGACGCCTTTACCTAAAAAGGTAAGACCAAACCTACACCCTAATCAATCAATCAATGAGCTGTTCTTCAGAAGCACCAACACGTTGCTTTTTACTGTTTCAGATTGCACGGTTATATCTAGTTTCTGATGTGCTGTACAACTCTTCTGCCAAAGTATCCAACGCCTCTTACTACAGAAAATAGTAAGTTTATTACTGCTTGTAAAGATTTACTGTTTTATTCCATAAATCACTGATTTACTCTGTCCTTCTCCATAGTTTTGAGACAAAGCTCTGCCAGATTTTCTCCGATCTTAATGCGACATACAAAGCAATCCAAGGACACCTTCAGAGTGAGAACTTCAAGGTATTAACGCTCACTGTGAACGTCACAAAATGGAACAATGACACCACGAGTGGATCGGATCACTCAACTCTCCATGTTGTCATTTGCCCTCCCCCCTCTGTTGTAGCAAAGGGTGATGTCCTGTTTCCGGGCGTGGGAGGACTGGGCCGTGTATCCCGATCCTTTCCTCATCAAGCTGCAGAACATCTTCCTGGGGCTTGTTAATCTCACTGCAGAAAAGGAGGCCCCCTGTCTCGTTCCAGAGGTAAACGACAGAGCACTGCATTTCTTCTGCTTACTGACAGCTTGATAACGCTGAGCAAAAATACCAATTTCATGGTAGGAAGATAAAAACTCTAGCCATGTTTCCATCAACGTTTTTTAATGCGCATTTTGAAGTATCGCATAAGAAAAGGTGAATGGAAATGGCATGATTCAAAAAAACTTCCTCTAATTCGCATAAAAGTTGATACGCTCGCTTGAGGTGTTTGTTTATTTATTTATTTTCGAAAAAGAGTTAATGCGCAAGAGGAGAGATGGAATCACATTTGTCAAATCAGTTCTGACGTAGTGAACATTTACCTCACATGGTTGATCAGCTGTTTTCGCTGTCTGAACGGTACCAGTACCAGAGCGACTGCAGCTGGACCCTCCTCCCGCTGTCGGCGTATTCAGTTATTCCCGTAACGTGAAGAAAATTGCATGTCTTTCTCTACGTCTCCAAACAGCAGTAAAATCGCCAAATCTAGTTGATATGACAGAATAATTACAACTTTCCTGATAGTAGCAACGCGTTCCTGATAACTTCTCTCCATTTTCCTGAAATGCGACTTCCTGTTTACTACACGCATGAGTCTTGACGTAATTGATTCGCTTCAAGCCAGTTCATGGAAACACATCTGATTCACATTTGTTTTTTCCTTTTTGCGGAATTTTAAAAATTTGCTCAAAATTCATATTAAAATTGGATGGAAACACGGCTAATGTAAACATATTACATGAGGTGTTTCTACTTCTGTTGCTACTGCTTAAATAAATTAATTTAATAATTTAATCAAGTTTGTTTATAGTTAATTGTGATAGTTATGCAACAACATATAAATTACAAGAGCTGCATTTTAAAAGCAACATCAGATATTTCCTGAACTTGATTTAAATGTATCTTTTGTCATCATCTGTGGATATTTTTAAGATCCAGATTAAAAATTGTAATTTAACAAAGTTAAATTTAAAATTAGTGCTGCAACAGACGAGAGAGAGAGCAGTTTAAAAGACATAGCCAAAAAACAAAATGTATGATTTTACTTTACAATTTTAACACTGCTTTGTGTTGGTCCATCCCATAAAATTATCTGAATAAAAATGTTATTTTTTGAAGTTTATTGTTGCAGTGGTACAAAATTAGGTAAAGTTCAAGGGGTATGAATACTTTTTCAAAAGCACTGTGTGTGTTTGTTTTAGCCGGAGCCGGCAGAGGACCTCGACGGAGCTCCTTTGGGTGAATATGTAGACGGCACGCTGCTGGAGGATGTAGATGGGATGCCCATCGATGCAAGGGCCCTTGATGGGGCACCAATCGACGGAGCCCCTCTGGATGACTTAGATGGAGTTCCCATCAAGCACATGGAAGATGACATCGATGGAATACCTTGTGAGTCACACTTGAAGCTGTTTATAATGATGGTGGTGGAATGTCCATGTCTATGATGCTAAACCTTTTATTCTGGGTGATTCCAGTTGATCAGTCAAAGGAGGCAACATTCAAGGTAGCACCATCAAAGTGGGAAGCAGTGGATGAGGCAGAGTTGGAATCTCAAGGTAAGAAGACAGATTATGTTAATGTAATTTAGTAAAAACAGATATTAAGTTGCTTTTAAATGTATTTGACTGGAGGATTGTTCTTCTCAGCTGTAACAACCTCGAAATGGGAAATCTTTGAGCAACCAGAAGAATCCAAAAAGTGAGTGTTCTCTCCTCCTCTTAATATTGGTCTGAATTCAGAGAATATTTCTGACGGTCTAATTCTGTAGGGCTGAGGAGGACAGTGATGACGACGACAGGAGCCCTCGCTCCGAGGATAACCAGAGCTACTCCAACCCCTTCAGAGAGGATTCAGACATGAAGGCCAAAATGGCAGAAATGAATGAGGAGAAACGCAGCAAGCTCCGAGAGATTGAGGTCCTTCGCTGCTACTTAAGCATATTGTTAATAATAGTGGATTACTTTATTTCATTGTTTTGTTTTTTCCAACAGGTTAAAGTCATGAAGTTCCAGGATGAACTGGAGTCTGGGAAAAGACCTAAGAAACCTGGTCAGAGTATTCAGGAGCAGGTGGAGCATTACAGAGACAAACTCTTACAGAAGGTACCGCGATGAGTTGATTTCCCCACAGCAGATATCTAATTACTCTTGACAATGGAGTAACTTCTTTTGTTACAATTTTTTTTTCCAGGAAAAAGAAAAGGAAAAACTAGAACGAGAAAAAGAGAAGGAGAAGAAAGAAAAGGAGAAAGCCGAAACGCGTTTAAAAGAGCTAAAGAAGGAAAAAGAAAAGGATGACACCCCAACAAAGAAGGAGCGGTGAGGCAGCTCCCCACAAGGCCTAAAGGGGGAGTTTTGGTTTTTAGTCCTCTGACACGTTTGTCCTCTTGGGTTGGCAGGAAGCGACATCACAGCGGGTCTCCCAGTCCGACGAGGAGTAGCAGCAGAAGAGGCCGCTCCACCTCGCCTCGCTCAGAGAGATCAGAACGCTCCGATCGATCTTATCCTAAAGACACAACTTCTCGTTCATCCCATAAAGATTCTCCTCGATCCAGCAACAAAAAGTCATCCAAGAGGTGAGACAGCCAGAGAGATTTCATCTTACAGCTCCTAACTTTGTTCATAAACAATTATGTAATTAATATTTATTCCACTAGATCTCCATCTTCACCTCGCACACCTAAACGAACGAAGAGGTCCCGATCCAAAACTCCTAAGAAATCAACAAAGAAGTCCCGGTCCAGATCAAGGTCTCCTCACAGATCTCACAAAAAGTCAAAGAAGAGCAAACACTGACATCTTTCTCCACCTGTCTTTGAAACCAGCCCCTCATTTTCCTCATCTGCGGACTGAATGGCAGCTGAAGACCTTGCCCAAATGTTAATATCAGGACATCAGTGTGAAGAGAAGGGGGGGTGTTGCATGGGTTTATCAACCAGATGAGCTCAGTGCTGTTTTATATTGTAAAAAAATTACAAAAAATGTGCTTGAGTGTCCCAGTTCCCCTCCTAATGGAATTCATCATGTGGTAGACCACACATGTGTAGAGTGTGAGGACCAGTCTTACATTCATGCTGTTGATTTCTGTTTTTGTAGTTCACATTAAAAAGAATTCCTAATGTTTTTTTTTCACAGTTGATTCAATCATTTTTATTCAGTCTTTATTTCAACTTCACATGATAAGCAGGACTTAAAGAAAAAAAGGCTTCAGAAGGTCAAAAGGCACACACCTACAGGCAATAGAATATTTCCATCTTAATGCAATTATTCCAAAGGTTAGAAAAATTAATTTGACTTTAGTTTGTAGACAATAATAAACAATTCAAAATGTAAAACAGGAAGTACACAGTCAATATATTCATTTGACTAATTATCTTTTACCACTTCTTTTCATTTTAGTTTTTAAGTTAATCCCAAACGGCTAATGATCTTATATTAAATCTGAGGCCACCTGATCACAGCTTGGCCTGCATCTTCCTCAGCTGGTCCTTCAGTTCTAGAGCTGCTACAGAGGAGAGGTGCACCTCATCTGGTCCGTCTGCGATGCGTATGGTGCGTGCGTACGCGTACCTGAAAACATGTTAGGAATTAGATCAGGTTAGGATTAATTATTTTGGTGGTTAAAAAAAAAACTAAAAGAAACTTACATCTGTGTTAGAGGGAAATCTCCAGACACCCCTGCACCTCCATGTACCTGGATGGCATAGTCCACCACCTTACAGACCATTCTGGCTGCTGCCACCTTGATCATGGCAACCTAAGAAAGAGATGTAGAAGGTTGAGTTTACGCCTGCACTCAGCTGTTCAAACGAAAGAGCCTGGATTTAAACACATTACTGGTTTGGATAATTGTTCAAGAATGTACATAAATAGAAATATATATATACAGAAGTACGTAAGGCCTCAGTTTGAAATCTGTTTCTATTAAATGTTTGGTACAAACCATTTCTACTATGAAACAGGCTGATACTAGTTTTACCTGCTTGCGAGCAGCACGGCTGCCCAGTGTATCCAGAGCGTGAGCAGCATATAGAGTCAGCAAACGGGTTTGCTCGATCATAAGGCGACACTCTGCTATCCAGTGAGCAACCACTTCCTTTAAAACAGACGGCACAAGACAGCAGTTTTAGCCAATTTGTGTTCTTAGAATCTTACCAAAGAGCGAACAGCCGTGAAACGACTTGGAATTGGAGGACTACGTTCACTCACATGCTGGTAGAGTTTTTTCCCAAACGTTTGCCTGGATGCGGCTCGCTTGCACAGTAGCTCCAGCGCAAACTCCGCTACACCAACGCTTCTCATACAGTGGTGCAACCTGCCTGGGCCAAGGCGCCTCTGAGCGATCTCAAACCCCCTGCCTTCTCCTGAGGTTAAAAACATGATGGTGGGACAAAAGACAAAGAACAGAGACAACATACGTCTCCGTTGTACAAACTGTCCTCGCTCGCTTAAAGTTTTTACCCAGAATGATGTTGGACGTAGGTACGCGCACATTCTCAAAGTGCACCTCAAAGTGGCCACCATGGATGGCATCTGACCTCAGAGATATGGGGAAAAAACAAGTCAGTAAAGTTTAACTTTCATGTGTGTGAACAGAAAGAAAATATTGCTGGAAAACAAGCAGCATCCCACCATCCTGTCCGAACACGGTGAGCGGTCGGATGAGCTTCACACCTGGAGTGTCCATTGGTACGATGACCATACTGTGCTGGTTGTGTCTATAAAATAAGTCAACAATTAAAGGATTATCGTACTCTAACTACTGTAAATCTGATTCATTTTTAAGCTGGTAATACTGGTGAGAACTTGATCATTTGATCTTCTTCCAAGAGATTTGGGTGTGTATCAAAATAAAGAAAAAACTGTATTACATATCACGGGTGTGTCTGTTGCTGAATTTGTTTTTATAATCTTCAACACGCTCGTAGAGATGAGTGAAAAAAAGAGATTAGCCAATTTTTTGTCAACATTAGAGCAATCAAGTTGTGGGACTGGTGTTAATTTAATTGCCATAACAACAGTGAAGACGTTTGATTGGACACCGACGACCCAGAGGTTCAAAAAGATGACAAAATGTCTGAGTTTCCGCCCCAAATGTGGAAAAACCCCTCATTTCCAGGAAACAAACGTCAGTCCCCTCTGCATACTGACCTGCTGCTGCCATCAGAGTTGCTCCTACACATCACAATGGCCACTTTACAATTGGGGTAGCCAGCACCTGAGATGGGGGGACAAAGCAGAAACTCAGATTTCATTAATGTTCAGTCACTCCCCAGTGGCACACCAAACAATAGAGCAGTTCCCATCACACTCTGGCCCCTGTCCTTAACCATTCCATGACCTGATAAAGCTCGGAAATGCTGTGTGCTGTGTCCCTGAGAAGAGCTAGACTTGCATGGAGCTGCTGACAGACTGACGACAGAGAAGCCACAGGTTGATTTACGCTTCCTGAGTCGAATTCTTTTGGTTTTCTGCTCGTTATTGGAAGCAGACCGCGTTTGCTTGAGATTAGGTGAAAAGTGCTTCTTATTGTTGGTGCAAAAAGATAAAACAGCCACTAGAGGGCAACGTCACGTGTAAAATAACTCAAAAACAGTAGACATGTTCATAGTTACTGAAGACATGGGGTACAAAACAAACAAATAAAAATAACCATCAGTCATCTATTTAAAAAGGACAATAAAGCATTTAAGAAAAAAAGCAATACTTTTAAAACAATTAAAATATATTTTTTTGTTTTGATGACTTTTCTTTGTTTTGTTTCCATTTGATGTGTTTCTTTTGTTACTGGGTTTTGCGTTTTGTTTTCCTCCATGGTTACAGGTTTGTTGTTACAGAGTTCTTACGTTTCTTGTTTTGATGCGTGGTCGATTTGATTGTTTTTTTTTTTTCTGTCACACTTTTGGTTTTGTTCTTATGTTTTCTGTATTATAAATGTATATTCAGGAATGCATTTTAGTTTTATGTCGCGTTTTACACTTTTACAAAGGAATTTACTAATCGGATGAACTGTAAGAAAACATCCAAGTTCAGATTCATTTGGACTTTTGTGGTTTTAAATCCACTTTTAAGTCAAAACCCCGGAGACCAAATGCACATAAAAGGGTGACCAATGTCCCTTCCTGTTTGAGTTTGTGTCCAGCTGGGAAAACGGTCTAAAAAGGACAGGGACATATGGACACCAGACAAGAAGAAGCAAGACATCAATATTATATAAATATTCCCAGCATGTGAATCACAGCTTGTGAATGCCTTCAACCAACTTATTTTGACAGATGTTTAGTCTTCCAACTGACTACAATTTCAAAGAAACATTAACAGATTATGCCAGCATCACAACAAAGAGTACACAATTTACACGCAACTCCACCCCAGAGCACACAAAGGAAAGCCTGTTTGGTTAGAGGACAGGTTCGATTTTCATCTGAACCCTTACAGAAGTCACTGGATCCTTGATACAGGGTAAACCCTGCCGTCGTGCCCCAACATGCCCTGTATACCTGACGGAATGAAAATAAGCCTTACAGTTCTCAGTGATCACAAACATCCTCTATTGTCTTTTTTGCTTTTTATTATTAAATGAAAACTTATTTATATTAAAGAAATGTAATAAAAAGCTTCAGGACATTTTTTTAAGAAAACAGTCTTCCAATTTATCTTAATCCTTTTTTCTAGTATGGTTTACTTTGCATTAAATATAATTTAAAAACTTGAAAGAAATAAACTAAACAATGAGGAACTGAAAAACAAGATGATTTGATTAAGTAGAATTAGGGAAATTATTCTCATGCGAAAAACAAAGAAAAAAAAACCCTCCTGAAATTTAAACCTAAAATAGAAGGTTAAATAAAAAAGTGATGTGTTCTATAAATCGTTAACGGCTGCATCACATTCTAATCTAGGCTTTTTAAATAAAAAGGAGAGATTATCCGTATCAGACGTTATTTTATACCCTCCTATCCCTTTCCCTCCACCACACAAACAAAAGGAAACACTGCAGACACTCCCTGCCTGACTCCAGAGAGCTCAAGTTGACATTTTGTAAAACCAATTCTTTTTGTTTCTTTCTATGGAAAATGAATAAAAGTAAAAGGTTTTGTATTCTTTTCGCACTGGAAAACACACACACACACACACACACACACACACACACACACACACAC